TAATAATCTGTTTTGAGTTCTATTCCTTTAATACAGTCGGCTGTCAACAGCATATGCTACCTCTGTATCCCCAACAATGTAAAGTGCCTGTTCTCTCCAACAATGACCACTCTTCCTCCCTCAGGTCCAGACCTGACAAATAAATCAAGCCCTTTGGTTAGCCTGGGACTGCTGCACGGCCCAGGTGCATGTGGGAACAGTGTCTGTTCACTGCCCACTGTGCTTGACCCTGAATGAGGGAGCACATCAGTGCAGATGAAAGAGAGAACTGGAGAGAAGTGGAAGAGCACTGTGTGATGGAAGTGGGGAGTCAGTCAAACTGGTGCCACCACTGGTGGGAGGTTGTGTGAGCTCTGGTGCAGGGTTGAGACGAGAGCTTTCCCTGGCTTTCCTGGTGCTGGATTTTGATCTGGAGCAGGGCACAGTGCAAGAAATCCACCCAGAGCCAGCAGTTACAGATAATGACAGTGCTGCCCCATTTCCAGGGCACAGCATTTTGGAAATGCCCTTGCTCCTCCCAGCAGTGTGGGTGTGGAGCATGCTAGCTAGGTGAAACCATGGACAGGGATGTTGCGAGCAGCACAGGAAAACAGGCTCGGTACAGCCACACACCCCTTTGTGTGCAGATTTAACTACAATCCCTGCAGCTGTGCAAAACCAAAATGCCTGTTGTTCTGGGGTGTACAGACCAACCACACCAGCTAAACAGCGAAAACAAAGGCAGAGTTCCTCTGGAATTTCTGTTAAATTAGAACAAAACCAAGGCCCTTGTTGTGTAAACACTTCAGGCCTTGCTAATTGGCTGTGTGTCTTCCCCTTACAACTGCCTCTCACTCAGGCAGGGACTCTACCACAGGGATCCTGGTCTTTTCCTTCATCAGACAGCTTTGTGGCAGGCCTGCAGATGTTTAGAAGGTTTTCTGTACAGCCACTTCCCAGTGAATTATGGACCAGCCCCAACTGCTTGTTCTACTGCAGCTTAGATGAAAGGATGGAAAAAAGCAGAGATAATTTTTCTTCCTTCTGTCTCCTGGGGGCTAAGCCATAAACACACACTCAGCGCATACCTATAATTTATCTTTCTTTATAAGCTAAATGTTCCTTGTAGAAACTCATTTTAAAAACCAGCTCTGGTTCCCATTTTTTTCCTACCTTTTTTTTTTTTTAATTCTGTCTTATTAGAGTATAGGTGTTCTAACCATGATTCTCACTGTTCTGGTTGATTATGTGACTAAAATGCAGTAATACTCATCTCCTATAGTTTTGTCTGGTGCCAGTTAACTGATAAAATAATGATTTAGGGTGTCTTTTACTTCTTACACTTTACTACATTCTGTAAAATGTACTCTCTCAAGATGAGTCATTAAAACACTTTTCTCTCCCAGTTTTGCCTTCTGCTTGTGACTGAGGGCAATGCAGCAAGTCACGTCTTGCATGAGTTTGGAGGGCATTTCCTTAGACACACACTGATTCATGCCGAGCGAAACACATCATCACCTGGACTCTCCAGGACTGATCAGAAGGGAAAATGTGTTTTTACAAGATATTTCTGGGATGATTTTTGCAAAACCCAAGTGCTTTGAAAATGAAAATATTTGGAAACACAACCTCTGTGACTCAAGGGTCCTTACGCCTGGATACCTTCATTGCTTCACTCTGCAGACAAGACTCCAGGATAAGGGGATGTATCCTTCTGTCTCGTGGGTACCTGTGACCCCTTGTTTGCTCCAAGAGAGAAGAATGGCCACATGAAATAACTGTGCTGAAATTCCCACAGAGGTTCCTGTGAGCTGACAGACTGTTCTACACTGACAGACTTAGATTGGGGATGTTTCAGTAAAAAATAAGCTTCTCCATAGAGCAAAGTGTTAGAAAGAAGTGACTGAACCCAAAATGTCAGAAGAAGTGCAGGAGTTAGGAGAAGAGGGAGCAGACCAGAACTAACACTGCTGTCTCCTCCAGCTTACCATACCAAAAATGTCACAGGTTTGATTGACACACAAAATTAATGCCCTGCTGTACTTTACAGCAATTTTGAACCACTGTCACAAGCACAGTACAAAAATACTGCTGACAAGCAGGTTGGGAAAACAGTAAGGGAAAACAAAACTGAAGAAAACTTTGCTTTATCAAAATTTTGCTGTGATACAGGAAACCAGCCCATTGGGTTACATGAAACTGTCTATGGCCTTGTCTAGCGAATTTGTTAAGGGTACAGTACTGAAACACCTGCTTAGATTGAATTCATTGAGGAAACTGAGAGTTTGCTTCATTTTTGTGCTGACTTGGAGTTAAAAGTATAAAGGCCAGAGGTGAAGTCTGGGTGTCCCACTGAATACTGTGAAGTGCACACTGAGCATTTTAAAAGTGATGGAAGGATGTTATACCTTTTGCCAATTTGAGCAGATAATTGAAAACCGTATCAAGAGACAACTAGTGAAAGAGATAATCTGTATTTAGCCGCTAAAAAATACATCATACTCAACTTCATGGAGAAAATAATTATTTATTTATGACAAACTTTTGTGCAATTCTACTTCCTTTCTTTCAAGTCCTATAAAGGGGAGATGAAAAAGGATTCCTTCTTAAACTAAGGTTTCCATATATTTCAGGAGGTTTTAAAAGGAGATGTATGGAGACAACTACATGTACAAATATATGTCCATATAAATATTCCTCTGTGTGTCTGTACATATGGAAACATATTTGCTTTAATCTCTGAAGAGGGTGGAAAAGTGACTTGATGCCTACATATTTTTACTTATCTGCTGTTAATTCAAGTGACAAACCCTGGACTATGGTAGCTGTTCTGGGAAGTGCCACTATGATAACTTATCATATAACCTCCTGTCCTGGTTCCAGCCAGGACAGGGTTAATGTTTGCAGTAGCCAGGAGGGGCATGGCCAGGACCCTCAAGTTATTCTATACCACCTCATGTCATGTGCAGGGGATGGGGAAAGGGGTCCCTTCCAGTCAGGTACAGGGAGTTGAGAAGTCGGGATGTTGTGTTCTTCATGGTGAGCCCTTGCATGTGAATCGTTCACCTCTCTTGTACTCTATTACTAATACTGTTGCTGTTACTGTTCGTTTTCTTGTCTCGTGGCTGTTTTCAGTAAATTGTTCTTGTCTCAACCTGTGATCTTTGCCTTTTGTGCCTTCAATTCTCCTCTCCATCCTGCTGCAGGGGAAGAGGAAGTGGGGGGTGAGCGAGCGGTTCATGGTTTGGGATGTTTCAATGGGAACACTAAATTGGGAAATACCATTCCTAAACCACAACACCTCTCATTTTCATTTCTGAATATTCAGGCATGCAAATCACTGGCTGTATGATCTCTAAGAGGTAAGTTATGATGTTTGAGATTTTTTTCCCCATGACATGTTGGATGAGGAAATTCCTGACTGAGCTGGAACCAAAGCAAGAGAGTTCATTATTGGTGATGGTTTTGTTCACGATGGCGAACAGCATGCAGGTCCATCTGTAGCTGTTTGTAATTCCAGCAGGAGTTTTTCATGCTATTCCTGTATTATTCCTATATCTGGGCTCACAAAGCCATAGACTCCTTCCTGCTCACAACAAGTAGTAAAACCAAGGTCCTGGAGGAAATCTGATAGAAAAAGACTTTGGTTTATTACTGGAGCAACAGTTGGGATGAAAAAAGACAAAAGAGGTAATTGGGAAATTGGATCCTCATCTGCAGGCTGGAGATACAGAAAAATGTGCTCCATTTTCAGTCATTCGCATTGTCTCATGACAGCTTTCAATCTGAAAATTTTATCCATATGATCACTGATAAAATGTATTCAACAGAGTTAACAAGAACTGGAACTGCCTATTGTCTCAAACAATTTATATTCCAGTAGAATTACATTTCCTTTGTGTATCTGTCCACCTGACATATATGTCCTCTCTTCCCAGATATAAGCAGCACATCTGATGTATTTGTGTTCCTCTGAAAAACAACACACATATGAAGCTACTTTAGAAGAGTCCTGTGCTGTGTTTGAATTAAAATATTGCTGATGTGTTGTGTGCACAGCCAGCATGGACTGATGAGCCTTTCTGGGAGTTATGAAACTTTGTTTGTAGCTGCTATTGTGAATAAAAGGTTGTCCAGCTTTCTCTAGCAGCTTTTCTGCCCCTCTTTCTATCTGCTTGCTATATTTAGGTCACACTATTTTCAGAACCACAGATGCCTGTTACCAAACCTGTACTGCAGTGGGGTCCTGGAGTGATCAGATGATTGCTAAAAAGAAATCAACTCTTAGATGTATGATGTCTTAGACGTATACATTAGCTTAAACATTTCCCCTTAGGATCACTGTGGCAGCTAACCTTCTCCCTTCATTACTCAGCTACAATCTGGATTGATTCACAGGTGATCTGTATCCATCCCTGTGGGTATTTGGCAAGCCACGGGAATGCAGTGTAGGTCTGTGAGGTTGCATATGAGGAGCAGATCAGCTGAGCATGTGCTGACATTTGCCAGGTTATCCCTCAGAAAGCCAGGGGCTGGCTCTGAGAGTCCTGTTGGATGATCCTGTAGCAGTGCTGAGGCACCTGGGGGCTTCAGGTTTTGCTCCAGATGAGCAGGGCAGAGCCAGAGTGCAGCTCTACAGGGCAGACTGCAGAAGAGAAACAGCCAGGGGGAAAAGCTGTCAGCAGGAGGATCTCTGTCTGGGGTTTTGCAGGCTTTGAGCTGATCCAAGGGGGAATTTCAGGATTTCCCTTGCCTCATTTCCCAAGAAACCTCTAAAAAAGAGGGAAGATGAGAGAGACAGAAGAAATCAAAGGCTTTGACTGGCACCTCCTCCCTCTGTTTCGGACCTTGTAAAATAACTGAAGGCCTTGGCAAATCTGGACTCTTATATTTTCCATCAAGATAAGTGCATTTCATTTATGTCACACTTTTGAATACACTTACATGCACAATGAGCTGTTCTGTCTGCCAGGGAAGGAAATGGAATAAAGCAGAGCTGGCCAGGATGTCATAACGGTTGTTCCAAGACCTAGCAAAGCCTGGCTGAATTTTCAGGTTGTTTAATCTCCCCGCTGTTTTATATTAAAGGGATAATGGTCACAGACAGGAACCGCTGACACTTGTCAGGTAATGAGCAACTGGACAGTCTTGCAGGTCTGGCTGTAAACCAAGATATGACTCCCAGGAAAAGAGGCCCCCAAACACCTCCCCCACTCCTTCTGTGGAGCTCCAGTATGCTCCAGCCATGCTTTTGATAGAGCTGCTGCCAGCTGTCAACCAAAGGCAAGTTCAGGACATTGAGGGCTGCTCTTGAAAAATGCCCATCTCTGGGCAGAAGCATGGAAAAAACTTTGTGTCCCTGTTGTGCCAACATGGGGAATCCACAGGTCCTTTGAATGGCTGGAGTCACGTGACAGAAACACTTGACCAAGGCTGCGCTTTGGTTCAGGCTGATTAAGGAGCGATAGGTCTCACGCCCTGTGGTGAACCTGTGACCCGGAGAGCTTCTGGCTTACATGGAAGGGTGTGAATGTGTAAAATGAAGACATCACTCTTGTCTGTACTATTGACTAGTGGTCAATTACTTCACTCTGTAAATATTCCCATCTGGATGGGCCCAATCTGAGCTCTCCCTGATGCAGCTGGACTGCACGCCAGGTCACTTGCCCTTCAAGCAGGGACATCCCACAAACTTCCTTGCTGCCAGGGAGGACTGGTTGTGCCTTGGGATGGGAAGTTGGGCCTAGTTAGTGTGAGAACATGGTTGGCAGGACCTGTAAGCCTGGCAGCCTCCCGAGCTTTGCCATATTTACCTTTAGGCTGCTATTGTTGCCTGTTTGCTGGTACATCATGCTCTTATGGTGGATACCCAGTGGTACCTGACAGAAAGAAACAAGGCAGATTTACTGGGATCGCTGAAAAAAAATCCATCATTTGCAGGTAATTTCCCTGCTGGCATCCTGTGTACTGATTGAATCCTGCTCCATGGCTTCTCCTCACAATATGTAATTGTGTTTCTCACACCAAGACAGGCACATTATTCATCAAAATGCAACATTAAACTAAGTAAATTACTCAGAACTTTTTCAAATAAGTGAAGTGAGATTTACGCTCTCCTTTTCCTCTGCATTTACTGCAGTGCTAAGCAAAGGCACCCAGTAGCCTAAAGGGATATTCCAGATATTAATTTTCCAGCTTTGTAGTTACATGTTTCCAATTTTGCAGTGACTCTGAGCTGCTCCTCTAGCAGAATGCAGAAGGGAGCTCAGGCTGGATGCAAGCATATTGTGCACAGGAATGGAGTGCAGGATTGAAAGGCTACAGTATTTTTCACGCCAGCAAAGAACCTGGCCCTGCCTGGAGATGTGCCTGATGCCTTGGACTTTGCCCCTCCTTGGGCTGATTTAACACTCACACTGTTTTAGAGGCTAGGTTGGCATAGACAATCCTACCTCTGCTACTATACAGTGAAATCCTGCGGTCCACAGTTTCAAAAAGACCTTTATATGTCTCTTATGGAGCCTTAACCAAGATTACTTCTAAGAGAGACAGTGAAATGGTCAGAGCAATGGAGCAATGTGAAGGGTTTCAAGAGTGCAAGGGTGCTCAAGAAGCTAGGATGATGAAGGAGTACAAAGGGAAAAGAAAGAAAAGACTCTACCTTTGATGAAAATGCCAGGTTTAGGAAAAATGTGTACTCTTTCTCCCGAGGAGATCAAATTTTCTGAAGAAATAGGAGACTTTCTGAAGAAAGGGAGGAGAAGGTGTATGGAAAAAGCTAGGGTTGTCTTCAAAACTCTCTATTTGTTTTGGTCTAAGTTAACCCAGGCATATTGCTTCTCAAGTTTGGTGATGCTCTGCTTTTTCACAGGAGAAAATTCTGCTTGGCCGGGCAGCCCTAACTCCCTATGGAGCTGAAACAGAGACTCTCAAAACATCAGTTCCAGGGCTTATGCTTTTCTGATGTACCTGTTTGCTACCTAATAACTGGGGCAACAACACAGCAGGGATTCTATGCAGTTAACTTTTGCAGTTTCTTTATTCCAAAAATGAAGAGGTGGGCAGAGTGGAATCACGGAATAGTCAGGGTTGGAAGGGACCTCGAGATCATCCAGATTTCAACCCTCCCTGCCAAGGCAAACCTGCTCAGGATGCACTCTATCCCTTTGTCCAGCTTGTTGATAAACAAGCTGAATAAGACTGGACCCAGTATTGATCCTTGGGGAATGCTACTGGCCACAGGCAACCAACAGAATTCTACTCTGCTGATCATGACCCTCTGACCTCTGCCATCCAGCCAGTTCTTGACCCACCTCACTGTCCATTCATCTAACTTTTCCTGAGCTTCCCTACAAGGATGTTTTATGGGAGACAGTGTCAAAAGCCTTGCTGTTGTCAAAGTAAACGATATCCACTGCTCTGCTCTCATCAACCCATCCTGGCATCCATCATAGAAGGCTATCAGATTGGTCACACTTGATTTGCCCTTGGTGAATCCATGTTGACTATTCCAAATGATATTCTTTTCTTTTACATGCTTGGTGATGACCTCCAGAATTATCAGTTCCATAGCCTTTCCAGGGGTGGAGGTGAGGCTGACTGGCCAGTAGTTTTCTGGGTCCTCCTTCTTACTCTTTTTGAAGATAGGAGTAACATTGTCTTTTCTGTGATCATCAAGCACCTCTCCCATTCTCCGCAATTTTTCAAAGATGATGGGAAGAAGAAGAGAGCCTTGCAATAAAACTCTGCAACATTCTGTACTACAGCAAAGGGAAAATGAAGCTTGTCTTCGTCTTTCAGTCCCAAATTGCAGGACCCTGCAGGTCAGAGCCTGAGCTGGAAGGAGAACCTCAGAGATGAGAACTCTTGCCTGCTATGAGTTTGGGGTTGTATTTCAGCCCTCCTGCCCTCAATTTCCCTTGGACACCTGTGGGTCAGCCCAGCCTCCTTGCTATGTGTCCAGCCTGCCAGCTATTCTTGCAGTGCCATTTTCTCTTTTCATTTGTAAATTCCTTCCCCCTGCAGCTAGGTTCATGTGTGGTCAGTCTCCCCGCTCTTTACTCCTTTCTACTACTTTACTAAATGTTAGCACTCTGCTGAGAGACAAGAGACTCATAGCACAGCTGGACCAGTTTTAGTACTAGGTCTGAGTAACTAAGAGAGAATTAAGAAAGAAAATCAGCTGTGTGTATACAAGACCAGATGTGTCTTCAGGGGAAGACATGGTGTATCCTTTAATAAAAAACCCTAATTGTAGGGCATAGTTTGCAGCCTGAAACCTGCAATGTGACAATGTTCAGATGGGACAGTGTACCTTCTTTCCAAAATTCCATGGGGCTAAGCCATGCTTCTTTCATTAAACAAGCAGATTTCTAGGCTTTGAAGGGCTTGAAATCTCACAGCCTTTGGCCAGCATTTGTTTCAGACACTGAAGAGCTCTTCTTTGTCTAGCAAAGACATGAATGCCTAGTTTTCCACTGATTCAGGGCTTCCTAGAGCTCCTCAGCTGTGTGATGTCTTTGTGATGCTTGTGCGATGTCTAATCAGCCCCGCAAGACAAGAAAATATGTTGTCTTTTTGGTCACGAAAATTCTTCATAACATCCTCTCTAGGCATGCAATCACTTCTCAGTATCTCAGTACAGCTCTGGGAAGTCTCAGGAGCAAAAACAGCTCTCCTCATCTAATTCAGGTGTTTAAGTGAGTCTTGGATGTGTTTGATAAGGAAGGTCTGAGAGGTAAAATCGCACTGATCCCACCATCCAAAACAGTACAGTATAAGATGAAGATAATTTTTGTTCATCTCTGCCTTAAACAGTAAAAGACAATATGGAGTAAGGCGAAAACCTTTGTTGCTGTTGTTGCTGTTAAAATGAGAGGAGCTGCCAACAACTGGCTAGGGAAATTTTCAAAATATGATCCGAAGTGGCTGTCTATGCCTCTGTGGGCAGCATACTGTGTAAGAAAATTTCTTTTTCTCCTCCCTGAGGTGATTTCTTTGGGAAGAAAGCAGTCAGCAATTGTGGCATTAAAGAGATCGTCTTTAGATCTCTGAGTAGAGATGAAAGGGGAGCATTTATTGTCTGCAAGCCACTGCTTCTGGTTTTCTGCAGAATCAGCCAAGTAGCTCTGCACCAGTTACACTTATTTCAATATCTACAAGACTTTCTTCTTATGCAATAGGGTTGCAAAATTCCTATTTTCGAAGAAGAGATGAAGTTTCAGGAAGAGCAGCAGATGCCATCAAACATATTAGCAGAGGACCTAGTGTCTTGTTTTCATGCTTTCCTTGTTTCAGAAGGAAAAAGATACTGCAAATTTGAAAAATTCCCGAAGAGAAGATTTATAACATCAAGCCCTGCCCCCATCCCATCCCCAAAATACACAGTAGCTGCTTCTGCTCAGATGATGCTTAAGCTGTAAGATCAGCCTCCTGTGGTTCAGGGGTGCTTTGCAAGGTGGAACACTGCAAAGCATTAGGAAAATGTGGTTGTATCTGTTCCATGCTCTTTAGTTTCACTGTGGAGCTGCTGATCTTTTGCTCTTATCCAGGTTCCCACAAAGCCAAGGATGAAACTTAGGAACTTTGATGATTCCTATTAGAAGAAAAAATTGGTGTGTCATGTCTAGTTCTCCCACTGCAAGAAGTTCACAGGACAAATTAAGCCATTAAACTAGAACACAAGAGGATAATAAAATGGTTTGATATACAAAACAACTACTGCGTCAGAAAAGCATTTTTGTCCACAAAAGGGAGGTTGGTTTGGTATTTCAGGCCCTATCGGAGGTGACTTCTTAGTGAGACGTAGAGATTTCTAATATGGGAAAGCAGCAAGAAATGGACATTGTTACCCTGGTGGGAAGAGTAACATGGGAAAAGTAAGGAGGAGCAGTTCTCTAGGGCAGAAAGAGGAACTTGAACAAAGGATGAAAGGAACTAACATTGCTAATAGGTAAAAATATTATAATATTATAGCTAGCAGCAAGGACTCAGGGCCTAAATGAACAATTGCAGCCTATTGTGTACAAGGTACAAAAAGCCTGCTGAAATAATTAATAAATGTCTTTGCTTTCACCATCATGCAAAGTCTGTGTCCTTGATCGCCATGAAACATCCTACTTAGACCAATTAAAATCTGGACTGGCAATGCAGGGGAGCCAAGGCAGTGCTGTCTCACCCCAGATGGGAGCTAAAAATGCTGACTGGGTTCAGAGAGAGCAGGGGAACACCTATCAACCCCCTTAACTGCAAGGAGAGAGGGAATTTGTGCAACTGTATACAGTATAAACAGGCACAACTCTACCTGATGTGCTAAAAGGTGGTGTCTCTAGCTATTTCTACCCATAGGACAAATTTTCTGCTCTGCACCCTTATGAGAAATACAAAGTTCAGGGCTGCTTTTTTTTGGTGCTTTTTTTCCCCTCTTTTTTTGTGTTTCTTTTTTCTTGGTTTCCTGCCACCCCAATAGTTAACATCTACATTGTACTCTAAGCTTTGAAAAACTCAAATGGTAAGTTGGTATTCAGTTCCATACAAAAAGCAGCTCAAATTTAACTTTAAGAACGTGTCAAGAGCTGCAATGAGGTACACACAGCAGGCAATTACCCTGTGGAGCATCACTCCAGAATGTGGTACCAGGTGTCCTGGTGCAGGATACAAAGAGAGATGGCATAGTACCTGGTAGTATCCAGTCTTAAGACTCAAGGTGAAAAAGGAGCAAGAACTCCAGGCTGCTATTGCAGGCAGTAGTTGGGGGAAGCAGTTGTCAAGACACAGAAAACTCTTCCAGTTCATACCTTTCAGCTGTCATCAGAACAAACCCCTAAATCAATATTATTGGTCCCCAGAGAGATTCAGGAGATAAATTAACATAACCTCATAAATGACAAGGTTTCACAGTCATATCAGGCCCTGGAAATTATCTATTGCTCCTTTATTACAGCACTCTTCAGGAGCAGTCCCAGTATTTCAGGTGCTCCCACGTACCATGTAACAAAAAACAAGGTTACCCAGCTGGGACTTAAACCTTTGTTCGAAATCAAAATAATCTTCATCTCTTTATATTAATAAAAAGGACAAAACATGCATGAATATAACACTTTCTGCCAGAGCTTTACTCATGACACCACCCCCAAGAGACTCCTTCAGCAATGGAGAACCCTGGTTACAGAGCTGAAGGTGAAGATGGACAGGAGTTGATTGCCACTAAATACCCTGACAGCAAGAATGGGTGTAGTTCTTTCCAGGTTTTTGTGCAATATGATTTATATCACATCTGCTGCTGCAGCAGAGTATGTTGTATTTCTTGTCAAATACATGGTGATCAGTAGAAAGCTTAAACAAACTGCAGAGATACAGAGTGGATTTGGAAAAGTATTTTCCTCATTTGAATCAGAAAAAGGAGCTCTTTGTCTTCTCAAGAAGTTTATTTAGAGAAAGGTCTAGAGAAGAAAGGGGACAGAACAGAAGCACTTCAAGTTTGGAAAGAAAAAGATTCTAGATTTAACCTATTTTTCTATGCTAGAAATGCTGTTTATTGCTTATCTGTTGCTCTCACCTTTTAGTATGCCTAATACACACATCACTAATTTTGAACAAAGGCCCTCTTGAAAAAGAATTGATTCCTATGTCCACATAGCTTTTCAGACTTGAAGGTCTCAGGTGTTTTCATTGTCTTTTAAAATATCTCAAGGTCATGGGAATATGATGAATAAGGACTGAACTGCATTTTATTGTTCGTGAGAGTTCACAGTATGAACAGCAATTTTCTCCATTGGAGCTGGACTATTGTGTTGCATAATAGTGAATTAAAGATAGCCTGCAGAATGTAAGCAAGATGCCTCTCACCTATATTGTCAGGATTTTATAATCATAATCAGCCTGCTGAATTCCTCCAGTGGGCTTGCTCTTCTATTTTCCCTTCTTTCTGATCATTTTAGAGAGGGTTTGATTTTCTTAGTGTGGAGTTTAGACTGTGTTCTCGCAAAAGGAAGACAGAGAAAAACCCCGATTTATAGCTTTACAACAAGACTCAGTAACCTTCTTGGCCTGCACAGGATATCTGCAGGCTGCAGTCTCTCAGGCATCAGTGGTCACTCTGATCTGTGCTACCAGGCTGGGTTCTGTAGTCCTAGGGCTCTCCTGATATCAGCCACAGTGAGGTGCACTGTTTCACCACAGTGCCTTGGTTGTTTCTACATGTTTTTTTGATTTTCCCAGTCCAGCAGAGTCTCTCTTGTCTGCCTTCTGTTACTGCCTTGTATCTTCCAGGAAGAGTCTTTCCAGTCAGTGCCAAGATGGCAGGAATTAAGAACTTGGACTATTTTCTGCTATAGAACTCCAGCACTTTGTCATCCATCCATCTCCTTCTCAGGTATTCTCCCATCCTGAACTATTCTTTGAGCAGTCCTTATGGGAAATGATGTATTCAGGTGGAAATGGTGAAGTTTGACCATGGGGTGCAGGAGGCTGGGGTAAGCATCCCTCACCCAGCCCCTTCAGAGCAGATATCAGGACAGCTAAAGAAGTATGGTCTCCCAGGGAGAAGAGCATTGCAGCACAGACTTACAAACAGGAGGTAAAATGGGCAAAGGGTCTGCCAGCTCTAGCCTGGTCAGGGCATGGAGGATGGTATGGATGCAGCCTGTGCCAGTAGGCAGACCTGTACTTTGAGACTGCAGAAGCTGAACCTTCAGCCAACAACAAAATGCCACCCTACTCTCATTTCAAGAACCTTTGAATTGTAGAAGAGAGAGAGAGAGAGCTGGAGACTGTCAGGTACCTTTGTTGGACAAAACCAGCCATGACAAATTTTTCCATTTCTTTCTTCTGAAACCTGATTTAACCTGTGCAGTACAAAGATACTTTAAAAGAATCTTTCAAAGTGCCAAGAAGGAACATGGAACCCAGCTGGAAATAAAATGCAACACTGGTACAAAGGAAGGAACCCAGATAATAAATGGATCCAAAGGAATCAGCCTCACATGACTGCATAGCATTTCTTTGGTGGAAAAATGGTGACTGGTTTATTGTTAAAACAGTCCATATTTCTCGTGGGAAGTAACCATGCAGACTAGTAACACTAACGTAAATAGAAATTCTCTCCAGAAATTGTTTCTGAGAATGCCAACAGCCTCTAAATAGTAGCTTCCTCCCTCCAAATAGACATCGCTGAACTTGCAAATTAAGGTGATTCCAGCAGTGGGCCTGTAACTTTCCTCTGCAGTCATGCTGTTGATTTAACAGGTAAGAAAGAAATAAGTCACAGAGAAGGTAGAGTTACTAAACACCTTCTTTGCATCAGTCTTCTCTGAAAAGATCAGCCCTCAGGTATCTCTTATCCTGGAAACAAGAGTAAAGAACTCTTGGAAGGAAAACTTTCCCTTGGTCAAGGAGGATTGGGTTAGAGAACACCTAGGCAAACTTGACATCAACAAGTGCCTCAGCCCTGATGGGATGCATCCATGAATGCTGAGAGCTCGTGCACAGCATAGCAAGGCTGCTCATGGTCACCTTTGAAATGTCGTGGAGATCAGGAGAGGTGCCTGAGGGCTGGAAGAAAGCCACTGTCATTCCAGTCTTCAAAAGGGGCAAGAAAGAGGACCTAGGGTACTACTGGCTGGTCAGCCTCACCTCAGCCTCTGGGAAAGTGATGGAGTACTTCGTTATGGAGGGAATGTCTACCTACATAGAGGAGAACAAGAAGGTGATCAAGAGTAGTCATCATGGATGCACTAAAGGTCATGCTTGACCAATCTGATTGCCTTCTACAATGAAACATCTATCTGGATGGATGAGGGGAGAGCAGTGGGTGTTGTCTACCTTGGCTTTAGCAATGCTTTTGACACCGTCTCTCAAAACATCTTCATAGGAAAACTCAGGAAGTCTGGACTGGATGAGTGGACAGTGGGGTGCACTGGGAACTGGCAGAATGACAGATCTCAGAGGGTTGTAATTAGTGGCACAGGGCCTAATCGGAGGCCTACACCCAGTATTGTTTAACTTGTTCATTTGTTACTTGGATGAAGGGGTAAGCCAGGTGCCTCCTCAACAAGTTCACGGATGACAAAAAGCTGGAAGAAGTGGCCAATACCCTAGAGTGCTGTGCAGCCCTTCAGAAGGGCCTCAAAAGGAGATGGGCAGAAGATGGAGAGGTGGGCAGAGAAGAACAACCTGAAGTTCAACAGGGGTAAATGGAGGGTCCTGTACCTCAGAAGAATAACCCCATGTACCTGTACATGCTTGAGAGTCCTTGTGGACAACAAGCTTGAGTTGTCATGAGCCAGCCGTGTGCCATTGTGGCTAAGGGGATCCTGTGGTACATTAAGAAGAGCATTGCCAACAGGTCAAGAGAATTGATCCTATCCCTCTACTTAGCCCTAGTGAAGCCACATCTGGAGTGCTGTGTCCAGTTCTGGGTTCTTCAGGACAAGAGAGACATGGACCTTCTGAAGCAGGTCCAGCAGAGGGCAACAAACACAAACGTGACCCTTACAAGGACAGTTCAGACTGGAGAAGAGAAAACTGAGAGGATACCCCATCAATGTCTATCAGTATTGAAAGGAGGGTGCTGGCAGGGTGCCAGGTGGGTAGAGCCAGGCTCTGCTTGGTGGTTCAAAGAAATAGGATAAAAGGCAATGGAGGGAAACTGATGCACAGGAAATTCCACTTGAAC